AAACCAAGTGATGTCAGCGAAAATACCGAAAACATAGAATAAGAAGTCCTACGAGTGGATCGTAAATAGGCCACTTTAATAAACGGAGATATATTCAGTCTATTTTGCATGGTGATTTTCATGATAACTTTCAGGAGAAAACCGCAGAACGATGATGTGTTCCCCACGACATTGTGTGAGTTAGAAAAATCATATGAATATTTTGGAGGAAATACAAGGACGTTGTGGTGGGAACCTCATATAGCTTACAGCGTTGCTCTTAAGCCTTAACTAAAGGCAGCGAATGCATAGTCTTACCACATGCATCTCTCAGTATCAATTTAAAAAGAAAGAGTATATAATTGTTCTCAAATTATACATACCTTCAAGAATGATGTCCATCCTGAGTCCACCGTCACATCTGTGACACCAGACATCGACTGCACAACAGTGTTCGCTTAGAGGTTTATTTTTTGACATCGGCCTTCCGCACTGAAGCGTTATTGGATAACTATCATGAATGTTATGCTTCTTATATACACAACAGTAAGTAGGGGTGTCCATTTCTTGCTCGGTGGTTGGTTTAAAAGTATGTCTGCCTTTTCATGAAGTATGTCTGTCTTTTCAATTTTATGATAAAGAAAGTGATACGAAAATGATCAAGACTTCGTCGGAGATGAGCCTCACAGAAGTTGGCGGAATGTGATCAAGAGGGGACTCGCCGAAGCTAAGGTAACGTCAATAGATGCATCAGATACAGCAAAGAAGACGGTTGACGAGAACAGTGGACCCTGCGAAAGCGGAGAACATCGCTAGGGAAAAGAAGAAGTAGCAACAGAGATGCGAAAAATCCATCAAAATCTGTGGCAGTAACAACAAAGGTTAGCTTAAAAGGTACTGGTGTCACCGATGACCCTCATTCAGCATGGATTATGACGGAGACGACTCCCTTGTCACAATGTTACCTGCATCACCTGTCGTCCCGTTTAACCGATTTCTTCGAGCGGGTACCAACAAAGCTTCCATTCGTCCCTGTAGCGAGCCAAAGTTGTCCAGTGGGTCCTCCTTGCTGGAGGTTCCCGAGGTATATCATACCCTTCGTTCAGAGCCTTCGTGAATAAACCTGACCATTGTGCTGGCGATCGTCCTGGCCTTCATTTGACGTCTCGAGGGATCCAGTCAGTAATCGCTTTAGTCCTACGGTCATCACAATACCGCATAACGTGTCCATTCCACCTGATCTTCGTCGGAATAATCCCAAACAGTTGATAACGACTAGTATCGAATTAGGGCATCGCCGAACAAGTACCAAGATTAAGTTCTCCTCTGCACAAATCGGTAAAGGTATACTTGCAATGGAGTGAGTAGCAGAACTGTGTTATCAATAGATTTTGACTAAAGGTGCAACCGATACTAACAACCAATATCCACCAACAACTTCCCACCGTTCATAGGCACTGCGAGTTGTGAATTACAAGCACATATTCGAGGCCTAATTACAAGGGAAGGATCCCAAGTCGAAGCGGCCATTTGAGATGAGACCTATACTGCTAGACGTATTTTTTGATGCTGATTTCAAATCTGCATTCAAAATCTGCCAAACGATTTTCCGAACGAAGTTATGGAGGTGGCCTCCAGAGCGCGCTCAACAGGAGAAAGCACAAAAGCCATGGTCGCCGGCAGTCCAGCAGTGGCGGCTTGGAGTGGAGGTAAGCGTGACGCTTCATAGGCATGGGACAAAGGATCGGGTTTGATGGGCAACGGGGTTTTTGCATCTTGCAAGACTTTTTCCTCCAGGTTGTAAAAAGCTTTTTGTTAGTTTGACCGCCTTCACCGACTTTCTAGTTGCCGGAGGCGAGTCAGTTCCTACTTAAACCGTCTTCCTCTGCCATCGACTAGTTTTTAAAAAAGGTGAGGGTTGCCGTGTGGCAAACACGGCAAAGGATGGTATATATGGATGTATGTAACACTAAAGAAATGTTGTACGCGCCCTCACAGGGAAGGAGCACAAGTTGATAGGTAGTTTCTCCTCTCTCTTGCGGGAGCCCTTTTAGGAAGACCTCGATATTGAGGGCGAAGAAGACGGCATGATAGAGGACGAGGAGGCCGATCCATTGTGGGAGCCGGATGATGAAGAGGAAACATCAGCAAGCACATCTAGAGGGTCGCTTATGTCTGGTAATGTCCAAAGAGCAGGTTCTTCTTCCCAGCAAACTTGTTAGAGCGAGATAACAAACAAATCCAGGTGGAAAGCGCTATCAGAAAAGTGAATTTTTCCACTTGTTGCGCTCATTGTGAAGACTTTTTTGTTTTAAACAGTTCGTGCTAGATTATCGCATCCGCTTATAATAGGTAAGAGTTATCCTACGGTGAATTTGAAATGTACAACAATAAGAATAGAATTTTTGTAATGTTGTTGGTAGGATTAGACGTCAGACGGTTTGAGTAGAAACTGACTCGCATCCAGCAACTAAAAAGTCGCTGAAGGCGATAAAACTAGCACAAAAAGATTTTTCCAACTTGAAGGAAAAAGTCTTGCAAGATGCAAAAACCCCGTCACCCATCAAACTCGATCCTCGTTCCCATGCCTGTGAAACGTCTCGCTTACCTCCACTCCAAGCCGCCACTGCTACGCTGCCGGCGTCCAAGGCTTTTGTGCTTCCCCTGTCGAGCGCACTCCGGAAACCACCTCCATAACTTCTCTCAGAGTATCGTTTGGCAGATTTTGAATGCAGATTTGAAATCAGCATCAAAAAATACGCCTAGCAGTATAGGTCCCATTTCAAATGGCCACTTCGACTTAGGATCCTTCCCTTGTTAGTGTAGTACGTATATGGGGAATCTAAAGGGTGTTATTCGCTTATCTGATCTCGAGCGGAGTTCCCTGCTTGACAGCGGGTTTTCAGGGTCTGGGACGAAACAATAGCATAAAGAATAAGGAAAATAATAACCAGACTCTTGATACCTTTAGCCAACTGAACCCATCTTTGATAGTTTCATCAAAATGTGTGGACGAGTATGAATCCTGATCATTGAAAGGCAGCACGGACTCAACCTAACGCACCCTGGCACAACGGCGCTCTCTGGATCTGAAATGTTTACTCTTGAGTTTCTGTTTACATTATAATGGCCAGACCGAAATCATGAATAACTGTTGTGAAAGATGGACAGCAGTCTATAAATGGAGTGGGTGAGGATTAGAATTGCCCCCCGGCGAAACTCTGCGATGGTGTCACCACAAATTCCACTTAGGGGACGTTGAAGAGACATCGCTTAGGAGACCATATGTCGGATTTAGTCCAATCACAGACCTACAAGGATTAGGCGAGTTACCCTAAACGATGGGTTACCCTACATCCTTTCCACTAAACCGCCTACTTGAGACCTTAACTATTAGCACTGTTGTCGTTTCACTCGTTTTTTTTAAATGAAAATGTCATGAGATGACCTGCATGGATCATTTCAACAAATGCAACAATTTCAAAGCCGTAAACTTGAACATCGAGCGATGGGAATTCAAGCGAAGAGCAGGCATCAGGAGGAGTAGGAGAGATGGATCCCTACACAGCTTACGAATTTGAAGAGAGCGACTCGAAGGAAACTTGGTAACAGCAGGAGTCACAGTTGCAAAACCTGCAGTATTCACTTTCACTAGGGAAAAGAACAAAAAGCAAAGTTCTGGATCAGCTGCCCAAGTGTTCAAGCTCGCAACCCTTTCCAAAACGAAAAGTATAGAAACATGAAAAAGTATTTTGTAAGTAACGACAGCTTTTGGTGATCATATTCGACGATGTAGTAGAAAGGGAAAATTAGGCAAAAACCAAAAAAAATAGTGCCGATGAATTTGCGACGGAGCGCCGTTGTCGAGTGGAGTGCGGCGGCAGTTCTGCAGCATCGACAACGCGCCCCATCACATGATGTGCGCACTTTGCACTCCGTCAGCTGTCGATCCCATACCGAGGTTCGGCTCATTCCCTTCCAGTAGCTCTTCGATTGTTGCGACATTTCTCTTACAGAAGCTGCTTACCAGAAGTAGAGGGGCAAATGTACTCAAAATTGGCCCTCTGCACTTTTTTGTTGTTGTTGGTCTTTACTGTTTTGCTGCATTGTGTGTCTACGTTTCGGATAGGAAAGTTATTTGGTACAACTTCCAGTTATCCAAGGAGGAGGTTGAGGATTTAAAGCATGTGAAGATTTGGTGATACACGTCTAGATACTTGATATCATGAAAAAAGGATTTGCATCATTTAAACCGCAAAATTAGCAGGATGTCCTTAACACTGTTCTTAAAATACATGAGCCTTTGACGATTTCCCTTTCAGGACGATACCTCCCGCCTTTCTCTTGCCACTGCCGTTTCTGTGAGGTGTGAATATAAATAGGAATGTCATCACCCAGCTCAGGGAAACGTCGTATGGACACTGATGTTATCAAGCTGTGAGTTCAAATCCGCCAGAAAAAGACATTCATGGCAGCCCATTCATTTCTTCATCTTCACTTTTGATCACTATGACATTTCTGAGTGAGGGATCAAACTCAGTTCCAAAATAAACGATTCTTTTTCACATATAATATTAAATCTCAAGGAGCCACTACAGAATCGTAACTTAAGGGCACCTCACGAACTACACATGTTTGTTGTTGTACTTGAGCTATCTTTGACGCTACAGACACAAATAGCACCAAACGATTTCCGTCTAGGAAGTAGTAGTCAGATGTGGTATAAAGTAATATCAAGTGATTTGTAGCAACCGAGCAAAAATATCCTACATTAATAGATAATATATACTAAGGATACACGTGGTATTGGTTGGTCTTTGAAATTTCACTTAAGCAAGTTTAATTTCGCTAAACTGCCCTTTCTGAGTAGTGGTGCTCCCACTCCTTGATAATTTGCTCTACAGTTCTCCGACGATAAGTGCTTGGCACGGAAAAAAACTAATCGATCTCGATGTTTATAATACTTTGTACTTTATCGGACTGATTAGTCTATCATTGTCGCAACAGAACTGAGCGGAGCTGTGCGAAATTCGATAGTCATTGGTCAAGTGACGCTGATGAAGTCAGTTATTTCCAGCATCGAAAGTAAGCACGAAGTGAACATCACTGGTGGTCTCAATGAGTTCAACGTCAAATTCTATGGACCCTCCGGGAGTGAGTGGAAAGTTGTCTTCTTAATTGTTGAATGAGTTCTTCGATATCGGATGGTAGCCGCTAGGAACATTTCGGGGACATTAAAAAGAACGTTTTCATCGAAAGCATAAACTGTGACTTCTTCAATCTACCGTAAACATTCAGCTGCATACGAAGGCGGCGTATGGCGAGTACGCGTCGAGCTTCCGGAAAAGTATCCGTTTAAATCGCCTTCAATAGGATTCATGAATAAGATATTTCATCCAAATATTGACGAAGCAAGTGGTTCAGTCTGCCTCGATGTTATCAATCAGGTACATTAGCCTAAACATAAGACGAAATTGGCCGCAACATTGATCATCCTGGGGGTGTTCAAATATTTGCAATGTGTAATACTCGTGCTTCAATGGCCCACAGTTTCCTTCATTTCAGGCATGGACAGCGCTGTATGATTTAGCAAATATTTTCGAGTCATTCCTTCCGCAACTGCTCACCTATCCCAATCCGACCGATCCTCTGAATGGTGATGCTGCGGCACTTTATCTACATAAACCGGAGGAGTTCAAGAAGAAATGCAAAGGTATTGATTACCTGGTGTGGGAGGAAGTGCAGCGTCCAGATGTTTCAGGATCTTTTTCCCTTTCTAAAATTGCTCTGGACTTTTTGAGTTGCCAAAAGGTAGAAGAGGTTCTACAGTTTTCGTGGTTCTGTGGAGTAGGGAAGCAACTGTTAAGCTTTGCTGTACCGAGGCTCGGTTGTGCAAATGGCTAAATGAGCTGGAAACCAGAATATAGCCATTGTTTGTCGACCTTGACAAACGTCAAGCGGTCAATATTCCGATAAAGAGCAGCAAAATGCATTGTAAAGTAGCAACCATAGAGATGCTAGGCAAGCCTAACGTTTCAAATAGATTTATTCAGAGAGCATGAAGTAATAGTTGAATTGCTCACATTGACTTTAACGCGAGTTGGGGCCCCGAGGTCCGATTTTGGTACCCATTCTCCGATGCATGCATCGTAGCTTGAGCTCGGGTGAGCGTCAAGTGTCGGCGACGATCCATATTCGAATGAGTATGTTGATCATTTAAATCTTTCAAATGCTCAACTGCCAACTTCAAACCAATTCACTCATCTTACAGACTACGTCGAACGCTTTGCGTCTGAAGATGCCCTACGTCGCTTCTTCAACGAGTCCTCATGCAAGCCAGATTATCGAATGGACAAAACCGGAGACGATTCAGATATATCCAGCATGTCGGATTTTTCTGAAGACGAAACACAAGGAATGGAATTATAATATTGTCATTGTGGTCTTCTAGTTCATTCATTTATCGTCACGAAGTAAAGGGAGGAAATCCATACTATGGTCGTTTTCAATCATCTTCTAATCTTAACAACCGGTGGAACTCGAAGTCTTTGCGTAGCACCTATAACAAAAGCCTAGCACCCTATAACAGAAATTTTCTGAACTAATCTGGTTTCAAGTCGACCTTCGTTACGAATTTTCACGGTTATCTCGACTGTTGTTCTCATGGAATATTAATTCACGTTGTACGTTTGCTTAAACCTTCATAATGAAAAGATAGCAATTAATTTTCAATCGATGATCGTGTTTAGTGTGAGAACCCCGCCTGGCATTTTATACTCAACAGTCACATAGTTCCAAACGCTAGCTGAAAAAGTGTATATGTTTCATTCTTTTGTATGTTTTTTTTTTCAATAAATCTTGGTACGAGCTGTTCACACCATCTAACGACGTTGGCATCTCATTGACCAGCCACTTGGGTACCGCAAAGGTACCTGATCTTTCGGAAAGGCCTACTTCTACCTCGTTCTTTCGCACAGATCGCCAGAAGGAAATCTGCAAACCTCCTTCGACTCGAAAACTTTGGATAAAAAGACATTCACACATCAAACTGCACTGTATCTTGAGCCAAGGCGCGGACGATCCATTCCCAAACTGCGGTCGTGGCAGAAAACCTGATCAGCGACACTAACTAGTTATCTATACTTAAGTTAGTCGCGACTAATCTTCTGGCAGCCACGGTGGATTGTTGATTCTGGGTCTAGAGAAACATCTCTACAGTATTACTGGTCTTTTATTTCTGTTCAGAACCATTTTCTTGTTCTGTATGGTAGGAAATGGCCTTCGTAAAAAACGCAAGGCTGCGGTTCCGGGTATCTTCATCGAAATAAGTGTATGCACTTTTAGGACATAGCACGAACCATGCCCATGTGACGAAGGGCGCGCTTGCAAGACGAATGTTGGAGATATCCGCAGCGCAACTGCCGCACAAATGCTTGGTCAACCTGGTGTTCGCATTTTGTCCTAATCCTACAGATCCTGCTGAATCCTGCTGTACCGAATGGAAACAAAAAATTCACCACAAGAACTCAATTAATACAGTGATCCTGCTGTGGGCGCTTACTCGAACGAGTGATCATCGTGCACTATAGCTCTGGAAATCTAAAAAATTCTGCGTTCATCTCAGTTAATCCCGTAGTAAGGCCAGTGTAAGAACCATGTTCTCATCGTGAATTTCAGTTCCCGTACTGACATAGTGACATTAGTTAAGCATTTTCGAATTGATTCTTGAACTGTCCTTATTCACCACAGTTCACGAAACCAGCAGTTATGTAACATTGAAAGTTATATTGAAATGCTCAGCTTTGCTAGGCCTCAACGGCTTCGACCACGCGTGCTTTCGTTTGGTAAAGAGAGCCATACTAACCTCATGGACAACACATTTACATCTTCCATATAAGATAATCGAAGAAACCGTAATGATACTGCAGCAATCCATCTTCAACTTCGAGACGGCAGATGAGCGGCAGGCCTTCAATGAACGGACACCAACTATCATAAATTCCGTTAACAGGCCGCATGCAGCTGCCAACAGTACTTCTGTTGGTGGATTACTACATAGCAGTAAGAACATCCATTCTTGTAGCTAACATCTCTTCTTGGACTTAGGCCTAATAGAGACAAAAAGAAGCCGCGAATACTCCCGAATAGAACAAAACGGTCACTCATAAGGAAAGCTGTTAGTAATTGAAGCTTAAAAATGGAGTCGCACATACATGAACCAATTCAAGGACGGCACTGCGGGATGTAAGTGCACGTTTTACGATTAGTAAAGACCACAAAGCTGCTGGATCATGTGCAAAACATTCGGCGGGGTTCCCAAACCTCACCTTCGAATGACAGGTGTAACTTCCAGTGGTTTCTTCATTCATTCCGTAACTGAATGTTTCTAATGTAAGGTATGTTTCATGACCACGTTGAAGTGAATCAGCTAATGAGAATAAAGATCTTTGCTGCCTTCCAAGACCGATTTATACACGGCATCAGAAAACTTCTCTTGACGGATTTAGCCACAGCGTGTATGCCTTTAGGTCAGAACGCGAAGAATCCGCGTGCATTCAGCCGAGCATCTGTGCAGCAAAAGGCGAGCGACTTGCTCTGCGATGACTAACAGGCCCACATGCCCAACGCCCAAGCCATTTCGCTTTTGCACGTTTTCGCATTCTGGCAGTAGGCAGCCCAACCATACTCTTGGGTGACGCCAACATTTACTGGTTAGTACCGCGACGTAGTTATATACTTTACTGTGTTCCTACGCCGAATACGCGCGGCTTGGCTGAAGCGAAGGGAGCCCACTAGGTTCCTATGCCACGGACTGTGCTTCAAGGTGGTGAAAGAAAAGACTTACCCGACAGTGGTGAAGCTCACGATGCTCTACGGCGAGTGCTGGTCAGTATGCAAAGATCAGGAGAGAAAACTTGACTGCGCGAAATGAGAATGCTCAAATGGGTCTGCGGTTGGATGCGCCATCACCGGATGGTACTAGCGGCTAACCTAATATACCCTGTCCAGAAAGGCGATGATCGCGGAACGTAGTGGGAAGGCCACAGAATCACTCATGGTCAGTAAGGTAGACATGAAATTCGAGGCTCACGGGAACAACCACGTGGAGCCCTGAAGAATTGGCGGGACGTGATCAGATAGGATCTGGCCGAAACAGAAAGTAGAGGAAAGCGAAGACAATGTAAAATAGAAAAAAAACGGACCCTGCGACGGGGCGGTATCAACGCCGGGGAGAGGAAGGAGGCAGTGCTTCCCTCAACCATCATAAATGCAATTTCTCTTTTGGTAAAAGCCATTCGTTCGAAACGTTGTTGCTAAGCAGTGCCTTCCTCAGCGGGAACACCGCCCTTTTGCAAACGTGGCTGGTCCACTGATAGGCTGATGTGATGAGCACAACTTCCATTGCCTAGGAAGACATGAGCACGCAATCGTGAAATAAAGTTTACGAAATCGCTAACTCATAACCCTTTATATAAATACGTGACGGAGTTTACAGTTTACAAATTACAAGAATTCAAGATCTGCACGCTATAATAACACGTAAAAGCCGCTGCGTATGTAACACAAGAGAACACGGTAAGTCATTCGTAATAGGAGTTTCGGGACGATCAGTTGGAAATCTTCAGTCGTCCTTCTTGCTGGCGTGATCACCTCCCTGAAGAAATCCGATTTCTTTCATGATCAAATTCATTATAATATTTGATACATTCAGGCTCTCATGTACGAAAGACAACCTTGTTTTATAAACTACCTGCAGCTTATAAAACCAGAAACCATCACGCAAGCAGCCGTTTCTCTATACTATTTGGGTGTGCGAGAAGTTTTGGGAAAATTATACCTCTCAACTGTGAAAGCGTGTTGCTACCGAACACGCTAAAGCAGTGCTACAGATTCGATAGCAGGAATTGTTGATAGATCAATACCACAACCGATCGGTACTTGACGTGGTTGTTGGAAATAAGTAGTCATTATTGAACAAGGTGCGATCGATAAGACTACCGAAGACTTTTGCTCCACCGTTACGATACTGAACGCTTTGATGGGCTATGGTGCCTGTTAGGCAGTAGTGCACCCTCTCTTGTCACGCCAAGAACGTGAGCTTATTCTTTCTCTGCTCATCCGAGCGGTTTATATGAAATCCTACCCGAGTACTGCGGTAAACACACAGTATTCTGTAACCAAATGAAAGAGGTTGTGTTGGCATAGCCTGACTTCCCCACTGTTCTTTGTTGATTTGATCTCAACCCATATGACTACCATACTTTCAGAACCCATCCTCTTCTTTCTGGGGAAATCATAACAGTGCCTGTCCAGTCAATGGAGAGACATTGTAGCGAAGGGCCATTATTTTGATTATTGTTCCAACTTAATTGTTGTAGTTATCTGAGTTGGAAAAATCAATTGGATTTTTTCAAAACTTTCCGAACACCCTAATACACTGCGTTCAGTTATGATACAGCCATATATGAAGCACTCTCTGAGGCCCCAGCCAACATGCTTATCAGGACCTAATCTTTCACAGCTAGCTTGTAAGGGTTAATGCAGAATGCGAAAGCTCTTGAAATTTGAGAAAGAATACATGTTTTGATCTCACCTCATATTTGACAAGTAGGGATGAAACACGGTCGTATTCCTCTTGCAGATTCTCTGCCTGTTTACGAATAGTGTCACGATCAACCTGCGTCTTCTTTAGCTCGGTGCCCAGCTCCTCTATTTTACGATTGAGGTCAGCTATTTCGCCGTCACCTCCCTGCAATTTTGAATCTAAATGGTAAGTCACAAAAATTCTTTCGATGACCATTGTGAAAACTTGCAAACACTGCAAAATTTCACATTTTCGCTTTCTTAACACGCGAACATTGCAACGATATCTTCGCGCATAATGGTAGCTTGAAGTCGCGAGATGCACAAACTCCTTTTATTGAAGCATAGAAAGGCCCATATTTCTGGAGAATCACATGCTCCGGTGAGGCCGCTGTTTCTGTTTTTTTCCAAGAAGTCCCGTGATATTGTCGAGAAACAATCACGTTAACAAAGGGTAAGCAGTCAAATACTTTTTTCTCTGTTTCGGACATTCGAGATACAACAGTTCCTCAAGAATTACGTCGTTAGGAGCCAAATTACTTAAGCCTACTCATTTTTCTTGCAAAATGAAGAAGGCCTAAAGAGCAGCCCAAGAAATGATATTTTTATAATAATTTTAACTATTACCAAAGATCTACATAGTTGACGGCATTTCAGAAGCATTCTAAAACTCAGCTAACAACTCGTACGTTCTGATTTTCAAGTCCTTATCTGATTAATCAACATAGTTACCAATTGCATGAGGATCATGAATTTTTGTTTTCACAAATGACCACTCAAAATAACGTATTGTGAGAGTAAATTGATCCCAAACAAACTCACTGCATTCATTAGAGTCTTAGCTGCCTTGGAAGCACTTTCAGCTTGACGCATTGCAGCTTCACTTGCAGCCTCTAGCTGGGCACTTCGACTGAGCAGACCCATTATACGTTTGATTACGCTAAAAAAGAAGTCTCACGATGAACTCACCTCGATACAGAACAGTTGTGATAAATCTTCACTGTGTTTAATAAAAAAATAAAATCAAAAGCAATCATCGCACAGGAAAAGAAGAAGGGCGAAACCAGAGATGTAGAAGTTTCGTTGGGCGCGAAACAGTCTCATGTGAACGATGGCGTCGGCATCCGCAGCATGACGTGGTGAGTTGTCCATCGCAATTTCGACATGCGAATACTTATTAACCTCACGAACCGCATCTCAAATAATTCCTTATCATTTACTGTTATGTGAACAATCCTTTTTCGATGAATATTAATGTCTCCGGTGACGTAAAAGTGAAACAAAACCCTAATAAAAATGACTTGTCAAAGTAACTGAGCACTCTTGCTATTTAATTCTTTGCTAATTCCGAACCAAGCAGAGTGAACGATTTTGAAAAATACAGTAAGTAAGGGATCGTGTACAACGAACTGCTATAGTGGTAAGCGCGACGTGATAGTAGGCGGTGGCGGCGAAGCAAGAACTCATTTGTTGGAATGAAAGAACTTGGAGGAAGCATTCGTGAAAGATGCCCAATAAGCCAACCCGAAACGGCGATACAACACAAAATTGGCCGTGAAAAAGGAATGTACACGCCCACAACTTGCACGAGCTAATCACCCAACTTGAGGACCTACCACTGTTACTGCAGCGACAACAGTATATTGCTCAAGCTCAAAATGGATAGAAAAACATTATATATATTGTGAAAATGATGTTCTTTTCGAAATTACTAATTGCTATGAGTGATACTGCCGATACCACCTATTCCCATTCGAGGCTCAAATTCACTCTTTTTCACCGAGCATCATAATTTATTGTCGATTGTTTTTCAGTACAAGACATACACGTATAAGAACTTCAATGAAGTAAATTAGCCTTAAAGACGTTTGATGCCGACGAATTATGTAATCAAAGCCTATGTAACTATAGTCAACTTCACCATGTTGCACGTACCGATAAGGCTAGTCAACGCACAACTTTCTTTTTCATTTTTTTACGAATAATCTTTCATTCATCCGCTTCAGTAAATCGAAGTCTTGGCAATTAAGCCTGGTTGCATCATAAACTCCCGAAAACCGCGGTAATCCAGTTCAAAAAACTCAAACAATGAATTATGTACTGCGTACTGTCTGCCGAATTGACCAACGCCCGAAAGAAGATTCTTATCATAGAAGTGAGCAAATGGCACACTTCCTCATCAACCCTCCACTCTTGCAATCTTCATATTCGATTGGAAAATTATATTAAACAATATCCTTCCCTTGCGATAGAAGCGCCAAAACAGAAAAAAGTAAAGCAGGATATAAACAGACTAACCAGCGAACAGGATGAAAAGAACGAAGGCTCCAGCGTAGGAATATATTTGTGCATGAGCACTCAATGATGTAAGAATACGACTTTTGAACAACTTGCTCCATCTAAAATATGAGATATAGTCTATCAATTATAACTCCTAAATAACAGCTCGCAGTTAAACAACAACAAAGCCGAAAACGTTATCGCACTGAACTTTTGTACCAGGATTTCTGATTTTTTTTTTTGCGTACGTAATCCCAGTAAACGTAACCGTCCAAGCGAATTAAGGAATCATCCTCAATTCCAGCTGCAGTTGCAAGCTAGCATGGCGCGACAAGCGCACAATAGAGGTATTACTGAGTAATACCGCTTTTTTCAAAAACCCTTCAACCAATCACATAACCTCTTGAGCTATAAAGTGAAGCTAAATCATTGAAAAAATTTCAATCAACGTCTACTCGATACCCTTGTTTACCGATGCTGAAGATCAAAGAACAGAATGAGACTACTTTTTCGTTCTCTTTTATGACATACTATCAATATCGAGTTGATAACGAAGTGAGGATATCACTTGATGTTCGATGAGCTTGGAGTAGAGGCTAGAGTGCCATGGCTACTGCTTATTTGATTTCTAAAGCAGAGAACAGGTGACTTCGACTCTGTTTTTCTCTTCTCTCAACAAACAGAAATTGCAATTATAGCTGTGTGTGACGTGAGGCGCCGTTTGCAGCGCGTCAACAAAGCAAGCAGGCCAAAGGACGCCTTATGATGCCTGACATACATGCCAGAAAAGTTCGTGCTCTCAATCGGTGGAAACGATGGCTTGATGGAATACCCGTTTGGGTCCAAGGAATAAGGCAGGGTACAATCACAGTCACAGTCACAAGGTCTACATAACATCACAACTCTGAGAAAAAACAGCTAAAGTGGGCAGCAAACCGATTTTCATTCATTTTTTCTCAAAGCCTTTCAATCATCTCAATACTGTAGGTCTTACCAACACAACTCACTCCCCATTGATATCAGAATAAGAATTGCATTCCTTTTATGTAATAAGCATAACTCTTTCGAATCTACAATGAACATTTTCGACACTAAAGCATATTTAATTGCGCAAAATGATTTGAACTGCCTAAATGAAGAAGGATATGCAACACCTAAGGTTGACAAGTTGGGCAAAAAACGACTGTCCTGCGCTATGCAGTAGGATGTATCACGTGTAGCAAGACTTTGGAATATCCAGAATACCTTGTGTCCCGGAACATGAATTCAAAAGTACATTTAATGTTAACTCAACCTCAACGCTTCGATTACGCCCACATAATCCAAAGCAGTGATTCGGAAAACGCCCTTATTCTTGTCGCCTCTACTCTCTGAGTAAAAACCTGCTAAACAGGTCCAGAAATGAAAATTATGGGTCTCCCAGGCTCTGTAAGGCTCGCATTCTAATGGGTCATCAAGTAGGTATTGTCAANATGAAAATTATGGGTCTCCCAGGCTCTGTAAGGCTCGCATTCTAATGGGTCATCAAGTAGGTATTGTCAAGTGTTCTATGATGCGTAAGAAAACTGCTGCAAAAATAGAGAAAACTGCGCCCAGACTGATTTACCAAAGGGTTTTTGAGTCAGTCTTTTCGATCAACATGCAATCCCGTCTCGAGATTAAGTGACAAGTTTTTTCTCCATATACTGCATAGCAAAAAAACAGTTGCGACAAAAGATCGTGCTTGGTATATTAAGCTTTACCAAGTGAAAGTAGCGACGCGGAACATTCAATAGCATCGACGAACCAAACATGTTAGGTCTGTTGAGCGAGAATCTGTGCAGATGTAGGTCCCAAAAATTCCGCTGCAGGAAAAACAATCAAGGATATGGGTTGAATTCCCTAGTAAGCATTAACAAGATGTCCTGCGAACGCTCATGGGATCGCTGGAGTAAACTTGAAAGCATCCTTGAATGAACCACCTTCCCCCCCCCCCCCCCCCCCCANAAAAAAAAAAAAAAAACTGGGGCAACCCGTATCCCTATCATCGATATCTCTAATTAATCATTATCATTCATTGCCTGACAGGGCAAAATTGGTCGTCAAATGGTAAGTGCACAACGCGTGAAAAGAATGTTGACTAAGGACCATGTTTCGTACTCTATGATCATTCCTTACAACCAGAAAAATATGAGTTATCTACAGGTCATCCGACATGCTGTTTGTTGTTGTTTACAATGGCGATTTGTTTAACGGATCAAAATTCATTTAGTAATAATCTTGATATGCTTGAATTTCCAGTGAAGCAGTAAAATCTTAAATCAGCAACATCTCAACATATCGTCCACACGTTATTATCATTATCATGTGATTTATAGCTCTTTTCGGTCAACGACACGCAAATCAGGACACCAGATCCAAAATGCTGCGGAAGTACAATTTTGGTAAAATTATGAAGCAAAAGTTCGAAGTGAACAAAACAAGTAGATGGCCGAATCCACTTATAAACTGTTCAAATTAACTTTTCTGATTTAGTTTTGATTATGATTTCGTTTCAGGGAAAGACTGATTTTAAAAAAGGCACACCAAAAGAGGTCTAAAGGATTTTAAATCCATCCTGAAGGCGCACTGACAATTCACTGACCCATAACAGAAGCCGAAATTCTATCGATTTAATGCTGACTCAGGCGCTATTCACTCTTAATATTAACTTTACAATCCCATGAGTCTTCCATGACTCATAGGGCCCACGAAAGCTCGATAGTTGATAGTAGCAGTAATGGTGATTAAAGCACTAGATCAAAGATTTACGGAAAATCTACACAGGTAACATTACAACAGCAACTGTAGACCCCGTTGACCATAGCATTCAAGTTCTTGTCTAATATGAAGTGAATTGCTTCCCGACCAAATAAAATAGGAACTAAACTTTACTGAATTAGCACAATCAATAGAATAAATTCTACTCACATGGAAGGCCGGATCCATGGTAGGAGAAGGATGAATGTGACAGCGATCTCGATATACAGGACTGCGGCAATAATAGTCCACTGGAGAGTCATTTTGTATTCGATCTTGTAAAAAGTTCGATCAATTCTGAATTTTCATAAGAAAGATGTTATACACATAATGTATTACATCGCTACCAATGAGATATAGAAGTCCGCATGATAGCAGTTTCAAAGATCAGTAAGCGGTACGTATAAAACAAGCTTTATTGTTCTAGAAGTTTATTGAAATCGAAACCATACAAAGCAAAACCGGAGAAACTCATTACGATCCTGGAAAACGCCTGATTCCGTATGAACCGGCTGCAAAATCGCCCTCACTGAGAACTATGTGTTCTAGATACAAATAGGAGACACCTTCAAAAACAAGCCAAACGGCCGTGATTTGAAAAAAAAGTCGAAAAGATTGAATGATCTGGGAGACGAGAAATGCCTGATGCCCGGCATCATGTAACTGCATGCAACTGAAATCAGGAGGCGTGAACAAATACTTACTCCGAGTCAGCAAAATCTGTGACGGTGAACTGCTGAATGTTGTTTATGCATCAAAAACCACTTCTCGATCAATGTTCCACCGAACTAATTATAGCTAAACATATCTTCGCCACGTAAACAATCTGATAAGCGTCAAATGTTACAACAGCAGCAGTGACTGGCGGCACCCGATCGATTCCACGTCAGTCCGAGGCCGAAGTCTCCCATTCAAAACATGGACAACTGTTGATACAAAACAAATCGTCGATTATTATGCTTGTGATGGGAAAGGTGTTTCATACAGCCGTTCACGCGTAATCATTTAAAAATGGTCATTGGGAAGTAGTGGTGCAGTAGGTAGGGCAAACACCGATTTAGAATTCAAAATGAGTTCAGAAGCAAATTGTTCACTCGATTCGAAACATGTTTTAGCCTAAATAAATTTCCTCCAGACACTGAATAGTAACGCAGCGCTTCTGACTCGTTACCGTTCAATTTCTAACTGGTAAAAGCACTGGTAAGGAGAGAAAAAGCCACAGTGATGATCTTGTCACATCACCCTGTAGGAAAGTGTACCGACATTCGAATGCTTTGCTGCTTTCGAAAGGTTAAAAAACATCTCGGATCAAACGAGTAAACTCAGCACGAGCTATTTTGAAGAGACGAATTCGAAAATGAACACAGAAGATATGCCCAGCAATTGTGCCACTGCGACACGAATAAGGGGAACAAATGAAACGCGTACATTTTAAAAGTAAGACCGTCGGTAAATTACAGCAGGAATATGGAGAATTTCAGGATAGGATTTGGATAAAACGATGCAATAGGCGAGCAAACAATGGATACACGAAATGTTACGCACTTCAATTGATCCATATAAGAACGCATATTACTCGCGTGCATATTGCAAGGTCCACTCCTTAGCAGTGCGAATCGCCTCGGTTTCATTGGTTTTCCATTGCTCGGCAACGTCGGTGGCTAATGGATCCTGAGTAGCATCGAATTATTCAAGCGACTGCCAACAAAATGAGTGCAAATTTTCTAACGAACCTCAGGATTTGGCGCTGACAAGAGCGCTTGAATTGACAACAAGACAGTGCGAATCTGCAGAGCAGGCGACCATTTGTCTGAACACAGAAGGTGATAAGTACACTAACACTGCTCAAAAGACGGCCGCTATCAAATCTGACAAGAAGTGAAGATTAACCGAGCCGTTCTCTCGTAAACCATCTTTTCGATACGCATTCAATCCCACATCCCACCCAACGTACTGCACTGTTGAGCAACTGCTCTATAGCTTCGAGTTTACTTCCTAGAGAGGGTTTCTAATTTGCGCACACTCGGCATAAGCAGCGGAGGGATTCACGCTCTGTTCGGGCAAGCCACAAATCAATATCATTGAACTACTTCCAGAAAATTGACAACGACGCTTCATCCGAGCATCGTCCTACTATAGCGTTTTACTTGGCTTCACGTTCCGGTTTGACGAAGCAGTTTAAGGCACTACGCAAATGGGAAATTTCGGAAAGGCCGAACCAAGGATTTTTACTGGGAGCATTTCTGACACAATAGGAAAATTTCTCTCTCCTCAGCCAAGCATTGTTCTCACTTCTATCTACCGTGCGGAATTATTGGGACTTATCAGGATAGTTCGAATCCAATGTTCTTTCAAAATACGAATAAATGAAACAGTGCTGATGTCATGACGCAACATTGCAAGAAGGTAAATATGCATCCGCCCATTAAAAGAAGAAATGTACCTTTCAAAATATCCAAACAGATTCTTCCAAGCTTATCGATGTTGGGATGGTAAATTTTAGTCATAAATCGGACCTGAAACATGGAGAAACATCCAAAAAATTCTGAAAAGAAGAACTTATGGTAGAAATCTTGTGCGGTGTTCATTTAGTGCTTCGCCTTTCTGCAAGGTACTCTAATAAAAGATGGTCTCACTCCAAATGAGGGTAAACAACATTGCTCCTTTTCAAACCCTTCTATAATCGTTTGTCTCAGCCTCGAGAACACCTTCTGCTGTAAGGAATTATATTCGAGCTATCTTGCAGTGAAGTAAGGAAGTACCTTCGGTGCTGCCATAGGATATTCTTCTGGTAAGAACAATTCCAGTTTGAAAACACCTCCAGCGAAAGGAGAATCTTGAGGACCAGCAATCATAACATGGAAATACCTAAAAGTTAAGAAATTTCAATTTTTATGAGATAATTAATACGTTCAAGGCTATACCGTGCATTGTTGTCATCCGGGCTTGCAGAGATGCCAGGCACTGGATCGGCCATCAGCCTTTGCGTTTCCTTGATAATTCGTCGTGGCAAAGCTCCGGCCATTTATACGCTAGCTTCTAATCGATATAGCTGAAGTCCAACAAAGAAAAATTTTATTTGGCTCATCGGATATCTCAACATATTATGCTCTTTTGAGTTGCAGCGTTAGAAAACAATGCCTTGCTGGCCAAAAAAAAAAGGTCTACCCATATCGGTTTGCATAACCAGACTTATCCCATCAGAAGCACAGATCGCTCGAACATGAAGCTTAGAGTGGGCCGACATACAAGGGTGATCACATAATCTTAGTGATGTGAATTGAATCTCAGTGACTCTTCAAACGAATGATTCCCTGGCCACAGAATCAACCTTATTTCTATCGCACAAAACTTTAACACTGGCGCGCGAAACAAAAAATGTGTTGATGGCATAATCACCATTTGTTAGGACCCTTTAAACCTCAGGAAAGTATGCGACGGTCGTGGAAACGCATTCAACCCATTAGCTTATGATCCTACCCTGACAATGTGGTCAACCGCAGCAACATGAACTCATGAGGGCTGATTTTTGAAAAAAAAAAGTTTCCACGAAGCCAGGAGAGATATATTTAGCGCAGTTCCTACAGTATACCAGCAAAGACGAAATGAGTAGTACTGTAAGCCACAAGAACTTGGGACTACTCATTGATCGCGAACAATGTAACCTTAGAACGCAGTGAAAGATACTAGAGTTCCTGTGAAAGATCCTAGAGCTACTCATTCCGCAGATGCAAAAGGTAAATGTAATGTGTGGCCAAATATAAGTAACAGGAACGATTGGCTGCTTTCAAACTTCAACGAAGCAACCGACGAGCACACGCACAGCCTTCTCGTCGCTTGCGTCGTCGAAGTCTTAAAGCAGCCATTACAAGAATATGCTGGGACACATCATGACATCAGTAAAAAAATGAACTAAAAAATGTCCAAACCTGATTCGAATATGTAGATATATGGCTGTGAACCGGAAAACATTTTAGAAAAACATACGAGACATAACGTTTATCCTTCTATAAAGATCAACCAGAAGTCGTAAACGCTATTAACAACAACATATTTCACAGTAATATCGGAATACACATAACTGCTTAAAAAAATAAATAACCCCTGCCGTTAATACGTCGCCGAAAAGTCAATGATCGGTCCATCGACTGCTAATCAGCTAGCATACCAAGGACCATTTAAATAATACCGGACCCACTAATCTTATTGGGAACAAAAAGAAACGTGTGGCAAAACCGACGTCCTGAAGAAAAAACTGGGGCAAGGATACAAGGGCTCTATTCTTTCCTTTGACCGTGGGATAAAATGACTCACCAATGGTGATCGAAAAAGTAAGACTTGAAGTGGATTCTAAAAACATTAATAGAGGGGCTGAGAACAAACTAACTTGGATTCGCAGTTATTAGATCGATAATTAATTTGTCGGCGACATCAATAACAAGGTACCCATTACCTAATTTCTCGGACGGATTAGGTGTAGTCCAACCCTTCGTCCTATGTTTCATGAGAAGAAAAAGGCAAAAACAAAACAAATCACATCTAGATATTGGGATAATTTGTGAGATATAATGAGACAATCACAGCTCCTCTTTCACATATTTTGGTTTCAGCTCTTCAATCTTCTTAACGTACTCAGATTTTTCAGTGCAGCCTTTACAAACCTGAAGCGAACGATTATATGATTCAAAATCGTAAAACGTCCAAAACATACAAATAATGCATTAAACCAGTAATTAGGCATTCATTTGCGTGTTCAAATTCCATTTTCAGGGGAAAGAACCATCCGATTGTTCACATTTAACAAAGAAGATATTAAATTGGCAACAATGTAGGTGATAGGGTATGGTCAAGAAGTCGAGACTAAAATTTTGGAAGGGCCAAACTAGTCACACTCGAGCTTATGCAGATTATAAAACTTGATAAAATGACAGATTGGTATTATAAAGAGATTCCAAATAAGAGGACTCAATGTATAGACTATAAACTAGAGCTGCGGTCCCCTTGACAACGGATAACTTGAATCCAACTATCTGAATAAGGTGAGAGGCCATAAGCTTGTATCACTACTTCCACTACTTCGATCACAGTAAAGCGAAGAGCTTGTTTCGAAGAGTCAGGAGGAATTTCGAAGAGATAGGAAGTGGTAAGCAGCATTGTTAACCAAGGCAACCTTTTTCAAAGCTTTCCGGATGACTTGAGTGCGTTTTTTTTTCAAAAGCGATAAGTTAGTAAGTTAGTGTAGACGCACAAATACGATTAAATAAAGGGCAAACTTAAAATTCGACACAGTGTAAAGGGAATCCCAATCGTCAGAGCTGTTGAAGCCCCAATAAATGATGATAGTGAAAATTCGACCAACAATGATATCTTGCTACCTTTCCTGAAATCACTGGGCATTTTATACCGAACCTGACAACTTTTCTTTACTTTTGCGCCTCCTACCTTCTGAATATTGGTGCAACCAATGATACTAGTGAAATGATCTCAATACATTTTTTATTCAAGAGCTAAACCAACCTCTCCCCACTCGTTCAGGATGTTTTTAAGTTCTTTAACACGCATCTTCTTCAAATCGATGTTCCTCCAATCGAGGGGTTTGTCTGGAAAAAATAGGGTTCACATAGTGCAGCGATAAGGTCACGGGTTTTTACGAACATCTATTTTCACTTTTAAATAAAGGCGGTGAGGAAAGTAAACAGCATTCATTATTGGCAATCGTTCACAGACAGAAGATATTTTGGACGCAACGGTAACGAGTAAGAAATGAGGAGCGAGATTCAAAATTTCCCACTTCAAACAAATGGTGCGTGCAGTATGTGTCTTATACGTTTATCTAAGTCATGGCCGAACGAAAACTATCAAATCGCTGGCTTTTGTCGCACTGGCCGACGGAAGTGAAAAGGCTCAGCCCCGCGGAACTTCGTGCTCTCGCTCTCTGTCGCGAGGCGCTAGAGGACACACGGCCGGAGGAAAGCCGCTGAATTACAGTCAACTGCGCACAAGCGAAATGTTAGCATTAGCAAGAGATAGACGCACATGTAAGGAGGCAGGTGGAAGAAAAGAGGGAGTTATTGAGCCAATTACCATGGGAGCTTTTACAACAGTGAGGGAGGATACGATCTGCATGGTTTCAAACTATTGTGAACAGCAAACCCTTCTTTAACGAAGAAGAAAACTTCTCGACCAACCGACCAGATCCACACGATAATCCTCTCATTAGTCATACCAAACAGTCTCACATATAGAAAAACCGTGACCCACGGAAAGTTTAACAAAAACAAGTCAAGAGGAGGAGTTTTGAGATTTTTAACCGCCTCACCTTCGGATAAAACTTTAGAATCCCCTTGTTTTACACACTAAGATTTTCTCCGTAATATAAACATTTGCGGGTTTCTTTTTTCGATGGGCACATAACTCATTTCCAGCCAAACTATTCATTTTGATTCTAACGTCCTAAAATCCTTAACTAGAGAAAGGCTCACGAAGCCTTGCATGTGTGGGACATTCTGGTTTAACTGCACATCGAAAAGAACTGAAATAATGTAGTGAATGCTTGTCACTCAATGATGCAAGTTCAAAGGGGTGAATCAGTAACTCTAAGATCAAAATAACTAAGGCTCCATTAACCCTGCTTCAAATATCCCTATTATGTTTCGATAATAATTATTTTATTCAAGAATGGGTTCCAGTGTAGAAAGTGCAATACTCGGAACAAACGGTAGTGCAAAACAGTTTGACCAATAAAAAACGCACCATATTTAAGCTCACAAATTTGCGCATCTTTGGCTTTCAACTTCTCACAAACTTTCTCCGGAGGCATCGACCAGGACAGAGGTTTCGTCACATCCGCCATCATGGAGGTTGCAGATTCTGGTAAAGCTCCGATATAGAAGCACTTAAAAACTGCGAATTAGCAACAAAAAATCCATTATAGGAAATGCACGAACAAAACATGGCCACTAACGAATTTGTGATCTTTGAGCTTCGCATTTTCACAGTGTTCACGAATTATCTTAGCAATAGAATCAGGCTTTGATTTATCTGCCTCAGGAACCTTGGCCATTGCATCCTTTAGAACCTTTGTACACACTGAAAAAGAAATGATAACCACCATTAACAGAAATTTGTTGAAGGGCATGACAAAAATAACATTGTCCTCTTCACATCACACAAGGGAACCTTTCACAACTGAGTGCCACCTCAAGAAGGTGATGAACCCCAAACGCTCGATCGCTGTCGCTGTAATGCGCATATCCGACCCTAGAAAGGTTTAGCGTGCGGAAGCATTAAGCTTAAACGATGTTCAGCTAGATTCCAGAACAACAGCCATACAGAACGGAACTTGGAGGTGGTAAAGTATTATAGAAAGCAGGTTATCACATCTTTCCATCCCTTTTGTCTGCACCAGCAGTCTTGGGTTGCAAAAAAGATTACAATGTTGAGTCAAGGGTGGGTAATTACTGCCACACTTTAAACATTGGTGAAATTTATTGCACAATGAATTTCAAGCCACCGGTCTTAAATAAAAATACTGTGATTTTGGAAAATCACCCAATACCTAGAAAGTATTGCTGAAACTAAAGAGCAGAATGAGCTCTGTAAAAGCATGTTCAGGAACATTCATAAATATGAGCTGCTTTTTACAGATGTTGTTTGAAATATAAGCGCTTTCTCAAAACCACATAAAGACTACGCTTTCACTACTTCAAGATGATCGGCACTTTACGGGTCCCAAAGCTCCTCAATTCCATTCTCTGATTCTATTAATAACTTTTATTCATTACATGTATAATATGTGAGGGTGAGTCCCATTGACTGAATCAAGAAAATCCTAGAGGAATAAAGCCTAATTATTAATCGAACATTAAATAAAAGTTCATTACCTTCACAAGTTTGCTGTGCATCACCAAGCGCAATCACCAGAATGAAAAGCAGACCGATCAGCATCTTCGCATCCACGACTCTGAACCATTTTGTTAAGAGCTTCACAGTCATTGAGATAAACATAAAATAGAGAAGAAAACTATGAACTCTATGGGAGGCGTAACAATTCAACTACATCAATTAACACAATCACAACGAGGTTGACCACACTCGAAAGGAGCAGAACCCACCGCCTTACGATGTAACTGAACTGAAGAGTCGCGTCAGCTTAGTATCCGCTGACGTGTACGAGAAAGAAAGCCAGCACTCTCTCCGCGTCAGTCGACACCATTGACGCGAACTTGGTTGAAGGCGCCGCAAGGGAGGGCTTCGTGCTCGTCCACCTATTGCGAAGGGATTAAACGAGCCACAGGAAGCACAGCGTGGCTGAATTGCGAGTTATAGAAACTTGTCACAACTTCTGCCTCAACATTGGACTGGTGAGCCCTTCTTCACCTGGGATTGAGAGTTGCAAGCTCAGAGATCCATGGGAGTTTATTATTTTTCGCCAAGGTTCTCGTCGTAGTGGAGACAGGAACGAGGTTTGGTAACGGGAACTCGGTTCTTACTGGAGACGGAATTTACGATAAAACAAAATGCCGTCAAATGGGCCCATATTCCATTTGACTTCACAATCCTATCTGAAAACGAGCACGGGTACACTCGTGTGTCCGGAGATGCGCGAGGCGGAATTCGTGCTAATTTAAATGACTTCAGCGCCTATCATTGGGGCACAAACTTTAAGTAGAGTAGTTCAGTAGGGCCAGCCGATCCTATTAGTATACTCTATAGGCGCTAGAGTCGTTCAGAGCGGCACGATTTCGCCGCGCATTTGCCGCGCGCATTCCCGGACGCACGAATGTTCCGTCCCCCTCTGAAAACGCAAATTCTCGACCAATTACGTATACGATGCGGGGTAAAGAATTTTGGGCAAGGGCAAGTGCTTGGGAGAGTAAATGGAGTGACCGGAAAGCAGTGGCTGCTTTCATAGTCCACGATTTGGCGAGCGACCGATCGACTGGTCGCTCAACTGATCGCGCGACTAGTCGCTCGGCGGCGCCTACGGCTAGCGTCGCCTCCTCGACCGATCGCGCGACCGGTCGCTCGCCAAATGGTGGACTATAGAAGCAGCCAGTGCTGTGACGAGACAGCTTACTCCAGTCAGGAGCCGCGGCAGGGTTACTATATGAACCAAGTGGCCGTAGAGGGTTTTCGTTTCCTCGTGGTGGAGAATTGTAGGAATCCTGGAACTCCGCAATTTTATCTTTTTACAACCACCGATTTTTCTGCTTCATATAATTTTCGAGCCACTGCTAACATTATTACTTTCACACATGGTGAGGACTATGGCTCCCATTGCCCTCCATTACTTTCACAGAAAGCAGTTTCAGCATCACAGTGAATCTTTTGCTATGTAGTAACTCATCCTCGCACTCTCATGCTGATCGTTTCTAGCCGCAAGCCACCATTAACGTCTGCCCCATGTAATTCGTCCGCTGTCTGGAATACTCCACACTGGAGCTAGATATTGCGATTGTTATGGTCTTTCGCACGGCATGAATTATCCGCTCCACTCAACTTCTTAGCAGCTAATTAAATGGTTAAAGGCACAGTTCACGATAATTTCCGGTAAACCAGATTATGACGAAAATGGAAGATAGAATGGAAAATAGTGCGATGGAGGCGAAGGAACTGCGTAGATCGGGGTTTCCGAAGTGAAAAAAGGCTTCGAAAAATCGTTAAAAGGGGCTGAACGAGAATGAGTCCAGAAGAATGAAGAAGAGTGGGGCGTTTGGACGAGCACGCATGGTGCGCTCTTTCGTACGTGTGGGTCCTGGTGCAAATATCTGACTATGGTAAGCAAAAATTCGCCCTCTTTTAAGCATAAGTAAATAAAAAACAGGAAATTAAATAAGAGATGGCGGCAGCAAAAAGAATAATAGGGGGAAAAAAGAATCGAAGAAAAACATCGCCTCATCACTCGGCGATCAGCTGATTGCGTGTGGGTCCTGGAACGAATATTCGCAATTTGTATTGCCTCGACACTCGTCTGACGACACATCGATCGAGAGGCAGGAAAGCGACTCAAGACAGCAACAGGGCTTCCACTATGCCCTGTCCGTCGAGATTTTGGGAGAGAGAGGGACCCTTCTACCACCCGTGGAGGCCACTGAGTATTCCTAAGGGAAGAACTCAGTAACCCTTTTTATCGTGAACCGTGCCTTAAAGTGGTGAGTACGTAAAGGCACAGTTCACAATAGGAATGGTTTCTGAGACTCCCCCACAGTATGAATTCGAGGCCCCTTTTGTTACCATATGTGGCTCTGTTAGGACGGAAAACGGTCTAGATAGGGTGTTATAGAGGCTCAAATGTTGTCTCCTGTGTATGCGCGGACGAGCTTCAACGATTTTGTAGAAGCGGCACCATTCACAAGGACAAGCAACTTGTCATGACCCATAGCGACAGTGAAAAGCAATACTGGGCAGTTTTGGTATAATGAAGTCAGCTGTTGGCGCAATTGCAACCACTGAAAAACTCGTCCAAATATCCCTTCCATGTCATTTCAGTCATGGCTGTCTCGTACAACTTTTTCACTACTTTTGAGTAGCCATATTTTTCGCAAAATCGGCGAATTTTCTTGCTCTCTTAACTACCGGTGCACTAATTTCAACCAATGCTCCCGCTTTTCGGCTCAAAAAGGGTACCTCAAAATAAGTGTGAACTGTGCTTTCAAGAAGATCTATTCAGTTACCTAGGAGACGCCCTCTTTTCTTAAAATACCAATCTCACCGACTCAACACGAAATTGAAAGAGCTATGGCTTTACTCTTCACCAAACAAAAATTGCGCCACCCGACAGGCACCAGGGAAATGAAATGTTCAGGTTCCCTCTTTATACATCCATCTAATCAATGGAATGGCCGCTTTTATAGCCCGCGATGTTGCCCCCGAGCGCGCGAGCGAGCAAGCGAGCGAGCGACGGGGGACTACTCGTCCGGCGGAATCGACCAAGATTCAGTTGTAAGCAGGGGGCAAGTGCCGCCCCCGTCACTCGCTCGCGGGCCAATTTGCGGACTATGAAAGCAGCCACTGCTTCCACATGAGGTCATTGTTAGAGAAAGCAGAGTTACTGGAGTTGAAAGGTCATTAGAAGGATCATATACGGATGGATATGATTTTTTTACAATTCGAAAAACCAATACAAGAGCAGAGAAGAAAAAAAAAATCTCGCGTTCTAACATATGGACAAGTCGAAAGCCAGGTTTTTCACTTCAAGAGCGGTTAGTGTGAATTGCAAGTAGAACGAAAAATTTGTAGCATGGAAATGTCGACACAATTCGGAAAATCTTGCGGCGTTATTTGTCAGATCACTGATCCCGAAGGAAGAGTTCAGGTGGTTTCCAACAGACTGAATTTTAGCTGTAGAGTCTGCATTTTACACAAAATCGTTTATGAAGGACAAATTATTACCAGAAGATGAAAACTCGCATGAGAATTTCATTTTTCGCGAAAAGGATATCTGTCGGCATGGCAACCTTGCAGAAAAACTGGTAGCTATCAAAGAGACCAAAACAAGTGCTCTATGAAAGTAGTCTCTCCTTAACGAAACTTCATTTGACATTTATTGAAAGATGGGCCTTCGACTAAACCTGACGAAGACGGTGTTCATAGAAACCGGACGTTTCCTTGCTGCGTTTTTATGCTCAACGGTACAAATTGCTCCTAGTGCTCTTCACGCGTTCTTGGATCTAGAAGACATCATGATTAGCAACCTAACACCAGAGCCAAGCTGAACGGAACACGTGACGTGGGAGCGAACACCGAGGGAGTGGGGAAGAAGGCAAAAAATTCACTTTATCTATTTTGTTCTATACACTTGTGTTGTTGATGTATGCTTTGTTAGTGTTGTTACTTACCACTGGACCGCTGTTCCACATGCCTAATGGCATGTCCGTTAATAAATAAATAAATAAATAAAAAACAAGAAGTGCGGTCCTTCCTGCTTTGAAGTACGTTTCGGAAAATGGGCTTTCACGGAGACAGGAGGAGCACGTATTCAGCGTCTTTCAACGCGTTGTTCAAAGAACGATGGCCAAGGAATCCATGGTCATGGTTGGACACATCATACGAATTAGTGATGGCAGTTGTATCGTGGCGGTTACTGAATGGATTCCTAGGAGCATAGCACGAGTAGCAGGAAGGGACAGCCCCCAGCCTCATGGTCACTTCACTCTACTCTTCATGACTTCTTCATGAAGGCCGGAAAATAGCATGTTTTGCTTCGTATCCTTTAGGCGAAGAGCGTCCAATAGTTTCGCGATAAAGGACATTTGAAAACGATAGTGGAGCCACTTGAGCAAATCGATAATCAAAAAGACGACAGCTATACTATGTCGATTGAGGTTGAAGTTGCTTGAACAGTGACACACCCACTTTTCGGCAGAAAGCGCGATCATTCCCTAGCACGCGATGAACTCGCAGTGGAACACGTCTGACTCCAAAAAAATGCATTTTCCTTATGCGGTGATCCCCTATTATCCTACGTGAACATGTATTTTAAAAGCGTTTAGTGCCGCCCGAGTGTACTGAAGGCCGGCAGACGGGCAGTTGGATCGGTTTTGTTTGATCGCTCCGCCGCTCGCGGCAGTCGCGGACCAGTTGCCTCGTTACTGCTGTTTTGCCGTACATCATGCAGCTAGATCGATATGCGATTAGAACTTTTGCCACGATTCTACTGTTACTCCTATTATTCCTGTGTTCCATAATTGTTGCGTCACTACTGCTTCACTCTGCTACATTCCTTCGTACGCGACGTCGTTTCACTGCAAAGCGACCATTTCGATTCAGCGCACCACGCCTATCGCTATTCTATTGTAGACAGCCTCCCATGGTAAAAACCTACTTCTTTCCTATTCGCTTGCGCTTTCTCACGGAGAAATCTTTAGGTGGTGTTGGTTGGAGTCGGCAAAATACATATTTCTGAAGGTACAATACACAAATACAGGTGCGCAAAGCACACAAAAAAATAATTGGGTTAGTAACTAACCATCGTGGTAAATGGCAATCAACAATACTGTTCGAAAAATATTAAAAAGTATCTTGGAAGAATTCACATTGGCTTCATCAACTCATTGGCTAAAGTACGACATGAACACAAAGGCAGTTGTGGAGAACGAGTAGAGCAGAAATATTGTGGGACCCTGCTTTAGTGGGTGTTCTAGAGCTCTCAACGCTGAGTCCTGGTTTTGGGGTGATGGAACTTCTCCCGAATTCCCACGGCAAGCGGCAGGGGCGCGGCGGCTACCCTATCTTTTCACACGGAATTCAAACCTTTCCCTTCTTAGCGCGCGAATATGCGTGATCGGGTGCGGCGAGCGCGACGTCATTTTCGGGGAGAAGATACGGGACCCTGGTTCCGATGATCAAAGACGAGAATTCTGAATAATTACGAGCGCAAACCAAGAGTTACGATGCCGTGCCTTCCGTTCGACTTCATAGGGATATTGGTGTGGCGCGCACAATGGTCCCGCTGAGATTCTCTTGTAAAGTACTTTACAACAGTGCATCTGATAATAAATACTATACACAATGACACAGTGCATCTACGTACCAGTCGTTTTAAGTGAAGAAAGTTTTCAAGGCAATCGATAATGAATTACCCACCTAATACCCAATAGTAATGATGGGGAGGATGCACAAGTCCAGTTGCATTCGTCCAGACGCCGACGTACCGTAGCCGACGTCTTCAGTAATTTTCCCTCTGCGTAAATAGTAATGTTCAACGATTCTGACTGAAAGACATTCAAATGGTTAGGTATAGACGCTACAAATAATATGGCTTGCACTAAAGTTGTCCTCTTGGGGGAGAGTTTTTCTGGTTTCCGACGTAATAGGTGACTCTGTTGGAAAGACTTTCGATAATCAAGACTGTCATACGTAGTTATCACCGCTCCCCTCTGCGACCCTAACGGTCGCTCCCGACCGGTTCCGTCATCGTCGTTGAAGTTGGCCGTCGTCACCGTTATCGTTCAGCAATATCAATATCGACAAGCTGTTTTTCGTTCAGTTCACAGCAGCTTATGTTCATGGTTACCGGTCGCTGCTCACGACGATTCAAAAAAGAGTCTATCCATGCCTTCATCAGAATGCTCTTATGTTACAGTAGTCTTCAGTCCATCTGTTCAAAAACTGCTTTACATTCCCCAATCAAGTTAATGTAATGAATAAGTCAGGCGCTTCACCTCAAAAGGGTGGTTGAAATGATTTTCAATAATCGTTGGAAGATTTTATGAGGTCACATCTATGGGTATGGATGAAAGTTTTTCGTTCACGCAAAATTTATGATTGATCGAGCGTCACTTATCGCGCAAGGAGTCTGTTACGAATTCGCTAAACGTTATTCGTCATCGAATCATTCTTTCATTTCGGTTATTTATCTGATTCAATTACTCAACTCAAACAACTCGAACGATACATCTAACTCTCCTCTTGAGTGAAGTTTTGTAATTCGTGGGAAATTCCAATGAATGGAAGCTCAAATTGTTGGTACAAGGTATTGTCTAATACCCTTCGAGCTATTTGGAAATTCCTTTTTTTGCCTCAAAAAGATGACGAGTTGTGGGCAAAACTTCGGCCTTGAACGTGTTCCGAACCCGTACTTGTCTCTCTGGGCACACAGCTCTATACCTTACACTATTCACACTTCTTCGCTCTCGTTTTCTGAACTCTATTTTTTGTTTCTGTGGTCAACTCCAGCAATCCATTACTATCAGTTCTTTCACAAAGATGCAGTACAGAAAAGAGGGTTAGTGATAATAGTTTAAGTTGAGAGATTTCCCGAAACAAGCGGTCACGCTAAATTTCTCAATCATCTGTAATAACCCACTGCTTTCGGTCAAAGTGAGCGCATAGACGAAGAATTCTGATGGAGATTTGATAGTTGTCTCAAGTCCGAGGCGAGGGGGGAGGGGGGAGGGCAGCCATCACAATGTTGGTATATCAAGGAATTACACGGTGTTACGTGTTACTCCGTGTTTACAACGGACATGGGACATGCATCATTTGAAAAAGCCTTAGGAGGAAAGGATCCTTAGGGTGGGCGGAGTTTCAGCTTTTCTCCCGAGGATCTTCCCACCCATCCCGGTGTTCGTAACCTTTTAAAGCTTAGTTAAAAAACAACACCTCCCTGGTTGAAAACCGCAAAACAACGCACAAAGGGGACTCGTCCCTCTCTTCGTCTCTGATACAGTGGTAGTATAACACGGACTAACACGTACTTAGATAGGTGTGCTCCACACACATGTTGGAACTTCAAGCAACCTTCGTGGCCTCTAGCGACAGTGGTAGGCACTTTTAAACATCTTACTACTAAAATTTCGTCCAAACATCACATACATACGATTGCCCTCATGGTGATCTTGTACAACCTTGTATTTTCACTACTTTTGAAAACCTTTTATGGCGCCAAGTCGACTTTCTATTGCTACGCGAGCAATGTAATATTCCTTACCAACACTAGCGCTTTTTGATTCCAAAACGGCTCCCAAAAATTATGGCAAACTATGCCTTCATTGGTCGGCCCTTTGCACAAGTTCAGAAAATAACACTGAAACTCACTTTTCATAGAACCATTCATGCGTGATAGGTTGAGTGGCGAATGTTTTAGAAGATTCGAAAGTTCATTCACTAGTTTTTAGCAGGCAGCCTTCTTATTGATAGGCGTGACTTCAGAAGTCATCGTGCTCTCACAAAAGAAACTCATAAACAGAGACTGGAAAATCCCACCCAACAGTGATCCATTTTTTCGCATGAGGCTATGATGAAACTGTGAAAAAAATCATATAAGATTTGAGCGTACATGAGGCTCTAACTTTAGATGGCAATACCACCTGAGGTTTCTGTGCAGCCCCGCCTCCGGAGGGCGTGCCGTGCCGTCTACCGACGCCATTTCTCCCGTTTGACTGCTTGGGCGGGTTGAACAGCAACTAAATAACTTGAAGTTCTCAGGCAAGTATCAAGAAAACGCCGCTTTAGACGTTCCCTAAGCCGTTTTCTAACCCAGCCCAGAAAGCGGTATGAGGGACGTTTAGAGCGGAGCCTCCTTGATAACTCGCTCAACGATGCTGAGGCCGACCTTACAAACATTGTTTTTATCGGCGAGTCATTGCCGTACCACGTAAGGCGACATTCTACGAGCAATAGGGGTTGGTACAGAACGCTCCCTTATTGTAGCATCGTTGCTAATATGGTCGTATGCGTGACCCCAGCCGTTCAAAGTAGCAATTTCCTTTCCATTGCTTCGAAGCACGCTTCAACTTTTTTTGTCGCAAGCCGGCACTCCAACCTTAAGTCGCAACTGATCATAATAGATGCGGTCTGGTACTTTCTTGTCGTAGAGATCGTTAGATGTCGAGCGTCATTCAGACTAAGCCGCATCCACATTCACTGATCCTAGATATGTGAAGATAGGTGTTCGCGGGAGTCCAGTGTTGTTACTTCTGATAGTACTGGCTCATTCGACTCCGCATTCATATACTCGCCCTTTTTGACATCCGATGGTCAAACTAAGCTTGCCTCCTGCTGCTCGAGTTCACCCCTGTTTTCACACGGGAGCATTCCATCCCCAGCATCAAGGAGTGTCCACGGCGCTGACTTCTGAAGGGCTGGTGTAATGAGATCCATGACGACAACAAATCTTAGTAGAGAAAACGGAAAGCCTTGGTGTACCGTGACGGAGATATGGAATTGTGAAGAGGTAAAGGTTGTTGTTCGTACACTTCTTGTTGGACTTAAGCGCAGTGTAGGCACCCACTCAACAAGTTCCTCACGAACCCGTGCTTTTGCAAGGAATACCATATAACATCACGCTGAACGTGATCTAACAAAAGACCTTTTTTAGTTCTAGAAAAGCGATATGCACAGCTATTGTAGACTGGGAAAAGCAGTCATCCTGCTATGTATCTCGCATTGGTTCACACATTCAACCTTGATTTTTTTGGTATTGCCGTATTCACGTTTGTAAAAAAAAGAGAAATTAAAGAGAATGCAGAAATTGCTTCCAGTGAATGATATCCGACGATGTCGTCCTGCTGCAGGACGGCAGATACGAAATGAAAATTCAAGTGGATCGAAGACGACTGGAAGCCATGATCACGGGTGGGTACAGTAAATAACAAAAGTTTCACTAAAGAAATTAGTTACGACTCAACCCCCTTTCTCGCCCCATAAAAGCCATTTAATCTTTCCTCAGTTTCTTGTGTGAGAAGTTAGCTCATTAGGCCTCGACCATTAGGTACGGACCGGTTGACGTAACTGTAATATGACCGGTCACTGCAAGATCAAACACCAACAATGGGAGATCCACCCTTCTACCTTAACCAAAAAAATGGAAGAAAATTGAGGCATAATGAAACCATTCAGGTGCTCCAACAAATCAGACGGACTTCATAGTTATGAATGCAGAAGAATTCTTCAATAAGGTCTGAACAGTAAAAATAACTTGTTTTGCAAAGCATCATTCGGTGGAAAGTATTATCTATGTAGTGTTGAGGAATATTTTATGTGCAGGTGAAATCTTATTCTGGTGCTGAAGTATGTTGGCCGTCGCAACTGAAAATTGGTGCAAAAACCAAAAAAGGTATGTATTTTCAACTGTCTTAATCTGTGCAAGTCCCTTTGATAAACGAGATTTTGGGGAACTTTGTTTTACTTTCTCAGATCCATTTGTGAAAGTAATTGGAACTCTGAATGAAATCGAGCAAGCAAAAAAGTACATCAGTTCAGCACTGCAGGTCAAAGTGAGTGTTTCCCCATCCTTAAGGGATTTCGGATAAAAATAATAAGTATAGTAAGTCGTATACGTAAGTGGAGGAACATATGCAAAGTAATGAAATGAGAACAGAGTTGCCACGTTATAAAGCACGAAATCCGTTACGCATACAGTGGCTGCTGTCATAGTCCACGACTTGGCTGTGAGCGCGAGAGCGAGCGAGCGACAGGGGTGGCGCTTACCCCTTGTTTACAACTGAATCTTGATCGATACCGCCGGACGAGTGGTCCCCCGTCGCTCGCGGGCCAAGCCGCGGACTATGAAAGCATATGGTTTCACTACGCTTCCTATGGAGGTGGTAAAACAGCAGAGGTAATGGTTTCTGAAATCTTGAACCCCTTCCCTGTTCAAGAGGACTGACAAGAGGAGCTGAACTCGTCGGGCTTGGTTACTTTTAGCAGTCATCTTACCAGTGCCTTGTAAAACAGAACTGATTGTGTGATGAGAAGAATGAAAGCTACTATTTAGCGATTTCTTTGCCTCTAAGAAATTTAAATAGGCGAGAAGAAAGCATTTATTCTCAATGCTCTCCTCCTTGAGTAGCTAGTTAGCTCTTTTCGAATTTGATCAAAAGTTCTTTGGCTACTTTAGAAAGAACGAGTAACGCTTAAAATGGACATCCATCACTCCATTCACTCGCACATTATCGGGAAAGCAGGTCGCGGTATCCAGCAAATAATGCGATCCACCGGTTGCCACATTCACTTCCCTGATTCCAACAAGTACACGTAAGTACTGATGGACTGGAACTATGAATTGCAATAATCGCTATACTCAAATATTTTTGTATTACAATAATTACTGTACAAACAGCTTACAACTCCCAGATATTTTAGGAGAAGGGGACTTTATCACTTCGTCTGAGTCTTCTAGACCTATCCAAAAAAAAAAAACCCACAAACCCAACGGCATAAGACAGTGGCACGCTAATTCGGGTATGCACATACTGTGAACATCAGTATGAATCGTGGGTGGTTGCTCATCCGGTGAAAGACACCATAAGACCTCTCGAGCTGAAAGTGCTTCAGCTTGAGCGTAATAAAGTCCCAGGTCTGAGAGAGATGTTACCGAGCCGAAATCGCCCATTACTAGACGTACTTCGCGTCTGCAAGGTGAAGAGGTCAACGCTGCTTCTACTACAACACTTCTTTTAGCCTATCGTGTCCATGGATTTTAACTTGATATGTACATAATTCAACTAAGTTTTGTAGTTAGACATGAACTAATCCAACGATAGGAGGAAAAAGAGAGAATGTCTTGGCATTTTCTGTGATGAACGATGGTTCGAAGGAAGCTCAAACCAGAGAGCAGTACTGAAGTTAATTATGCTCTAGCGAGTGTTGGCCTATAGGCATTGATCAGGCTATAGGCAAGGCAACTTCACTACGCGGAAATGGGGATGTTGAGATGGGTCTGCGCTTGGACAAGATTTCGAAACGAAGACGTCAGGAGAGTCATGAGAGCAGCTCGTATCCAGTTAGAGTAAGATCGGTTTTCCCAAAGAAAAGGGAAGATGTATTCAAAAAGAACCTCTCGAAAACAATGTAACAACAGCAGATGCCACAGATCAAAGCAAGTGGCAAAGGCTAACAGAACAGAAGACACTGCGGCTGCGTGGAACTAAAGCTAGGGAGAAAAGATGATGATAAAAATGGATGAGGTTTCTCGGAAATCGTAGTCTTTCGAATGATACCTTTCCGATGACAATTTCCTAAAATCTGATTAACATTTGGTGCCACATACTTATGGTACAGCGTTCATATGATTATTTATTGCAACAAATACTATTTGTACCACTTTCCCTCTCTTTATCGCTCTTCATGAATACTCCGTTGAATTTGTCGCAGGGACTCCACAAACAAAAGCGATCAAGTTTCGATATCAGGTCTGCCCTTGAACGTCGAAAAAGCTCGAAAGGTTTTACGGGTGAGTCTGAGTAGCTCTTCGACTTGACGCTATCTGAATTGATCTCAAAACAAGCTTAACGTCAGCAACAAACCCTCAGGTTTCGTTTTGCTGTGAATGATCAGTGAAATAATATGATGACCGTGTGTCTAGATTCTTTTACAGGCAGTTTCACCGTTGGTTCTAACTTTTGATTTGCCCTGGATACATCGAAAAGAACCGGAAATTCGACAGTTCCCACCTAATGTAAGTGTGGGTTAAATCAGTAATCAGAAAGCGTTTGATGGAGCGAATGTAGGCGTTTCTGAATAAACAACCCTTCAAAGGCACAGTTCACGACAATTTTGGGTAATCCAGATTATGACGAAAAATGGAAGATAAGTTGAAAAATAGCGCAATGAAGGCGAAGAAAATGCGTGAATCGGTGTTTCCAAAATGAGAAAGGCTTCGAAAAAATCGCTGAAGAGGGAGCTAGACAAGAATGAGACAAAAAGATGAAGAAGAATGGGGCGTTGGACGATACAATGCGTGTCATTGCGTACGCGTGGGTCATGGTGACTACAGCTGACTACAGTAAGCGACATCGCCTCATCACTAGGCAAGCAGCTGACTGTGTGCTGAATATGTGGGTCCTGGCGCGAATATTGCAATCTGTTTTGCCTTCGCGAGGCGGGGCATCGGAGCTATCCGTTAACGGGGCTTTCACTATGCCCCAGCTGTTGAGTTTTGGGACCCGACAGCGTCTATCCTGTTACCCTTGGGAACCACTGGGTTTTTGTTTCGGGGGAGAACTGAGAAGTCATTTTTATCGTGAACTGTGCCTTCAAGACACATATCTTAACAAAAGATTTACAAACAATTAACAATTCCNTGCCCCAGCTGTTGAGTTTTGGGACCCGACAGCGTCTATTCTGTTACCCTTAGGAACCACTGAGTTTTTGTTTTGGGGGAGAACTGAGAAGTCATTTTTATCGTGAACTGTGCCTTCAAGACACATATCTTAACAAAAGATTTACAAACAATTAACAATTCCTTCTTCCTCCATATTAATGCTCTGCGGAGGGGGTAGTAGGGAATTTCTTTCAATGCTGTTGCTAAAGATCTCTATTCCTCAGGTAGTCGTTACATTGAGTGCTCTTGCTCCAACCCTTTATTCTTGTGTAATGAAATCGAATGCCGGTGATGAGGACAATATTTTACGAGCAATCAGCCTAATTATGACTCAGTTCGATATCCCGGTAAAGATATTCCATGAATCTAGAACGTCTTCCAGGCAAAGAAAAAACGCACATAAAATTGTTACAGTTCAGGAAGAGTTCCCTGTGATTGTTCGGACAACGTTTAATGTAAAAGAGGACCTCGTACAGGTACTACGAAACGGGAAAGAATCCCAGAGGTTAGTCCTTTGCATTACCATGTGATCGGTCACAGATTGAATGAGTGGTTTCCACCAGAGTGATGAATAAAAGTGGAGAGTATCGACCAAACTTATGCCAGTTCTTATGCAATGATTTCCTCCTCGGTTTTCATATTCCCGGCTCCCTATTGAACATCTATCACAATCTGGAGCGAACCACCCAATAAATCGTATGAGAATGAAGATTTCTGATATTTCTCTCTACTCAATGTTCCAAACTTCTTTCTCACGAGTTTCCCAAGCAAACTGAACTGCTGTCATGAAACCCCATTGCAGCGCCTACAGTAGATCCATTTACGTAAGAAATGACACCAGATTTCCGTCCATAATGCCGTAAGATACCAGTACTGTTTCAACCGCGTAAGTATCGTTTATGAAAACTCGTGAGGAGAACAAAGCCTCTCTTCTTCACACTGATTACAGACAGTGCACACAAAAACACCGAGTGTGGTGAAAACCGATATTATTCAGACTACAACAACTTGCACAACGTTATGGAGTGCAGCTGCAAATATCGGAAACACCTCAACCTGTGCTCGTCTATGGCCCAGCCAGTGGGGTCTTGTTAATCCGAAAATTTATTATGGTGAGTAACAACTAGTTTATAATAATCTCAGTTAAAATGTCCCAATTTGGGGGAGGGCTTGAGCTCTGAACATGCTAACACGGAGCAGAGGTGGTGCGACCGGGATGGGGGAGGATGGAGGAGAGCGGAACGTCTGTCGATATGAGCGTAAATGAGTAAAAGTACGAAGCCAATGTGAAATAAGTGGGGAATGAACCGGGTTTCTTTCATACAGGACTTGAGCGAGGAGCCGTTCATGGCGGGCGAGAAGTACGAAGTGTGTCAGAGTTAGTGTGTGGTCGGCAAGAATCAGTCGCTCTCTTCCTAGACCATAACCTTCCAAATATGAAAGGGGTTTAGACGGGGGCTAAAGGAGGACAGTCCAGCGTTATTCGGGCAATTTGACTGGTTGGCTTGTGAGGCGTGCAAAAGCTGTGAACGGCCCCCTACTTCATGCAATAAGTGTTGTTTTGGGCTTTGACGTTATCCGACGGAAGGCCTTAACCATACAAAAACCCAAACTGGAGTTGGGGGTGAAAGGGGTTAAGGTTGAACTCAGCCAGGGAGCTGGGAAGACGTGACGAATATATGAACAGGAGGAAGACGAAAGGGAAAGTCAATTTCGAGGCAGACTAGAAAAACAAGGAAAAACGATGAAGAAATGAGTTAGACAAATAACATCATAGGAATTTGTGGTGTAATCATTGGCGAGTTGGAAGGGACAAGAAGAGGGGAGGCATCTCAACGCCGATTGATCGATAGATCGTGTGAATTCTATGAACAAGAAATCGATGAGGCAGAGGAGGCTCCTATCACATCTGATTCCTTAAACATTCATTTGTAGGGACTTTCCCAAGTGATTCTTTCATTCGACGTGCCATCTAGCGAATTTTCACTCGATTTCGAACGACTACAAAGAGAATACGACTTGTTGATTCACTCGAAAAAGAAAAATAATACACAAGATATTTTGGTGAGTGCCATAACTATCGCCAATCTTATCAACCTATTGTTATCATACTGCATAGAATAGATAATCAAACAATTCACAAAGGGCCAATGCCATGCGTATTCTAAACTGCGATGCATTCACTTTCAGGCAATTTCCATCAGATCAACCGAGGAGAATATGTTAAACATCTTACGCGCCAGGGAGTCTATTCTGGGAATTGCGGTGAACACCTATTTTGACAACGAGTACACCGCTCTTAAAATGCAGCAAGGTTGGTGTGTGCGTGTGAAAAAATTTTCTAAGAAAGAGATAATTTCGCAAACCCTTGTCCCTGTTAGTGAAGATCTGAAAACAGCTAAAATAGAAGAAATATCCGAGAAAATGTGCCACGTTGCATAGAAGATGATTTAGAATACCATCGATTTGACTCTGGCTGGTAGCAGAGCACGGCACGTAATGGCTAGGGTAACTACATAATGGATCAGGAATATGTAGAGGGGCAATAGAGATACTGGAGGTCTTTGCGAAGCATTCTAGCCCCTGATGTCGCAGCACAGCTCTGTTCGAATGTATAGATATTAGGCCTTTTTGTGAGGTCTCGCTCAAAATGTTATACTTTTCATTCGGCTATCCTTTCGGTCTTGTCGCCTTCGTCTGAGGCAGAGAACCAAAAATATTAGTAATTCACTTTCATCTCTCTCTGATATTTATGGATTACGTGGTGTGACTCGAGAAACCGTTCCAGGTTTTTATAGGCTATACTCAAATAAAGCTGAAGTCTGTCCAAAATGTCGTTGATGGTGATGAATTCCTGTCACTTCTGGCTTTCATTCACGGAAGGAAGCGACGAGGCTGTAACCTTAGCCGAACAAAATTTGTAACTTCTCGACCGG